TTCTGTCTTTACCTTTTAAACTCAAATTGCTGTTCCCTGGGCCTCGCGGCCCAGGTCAGCTGCCCCGCCCCCGCTGGGGCTCCCTCCCAACTAACTGTACCTGGCCCCGACGGAGAGCCGAGTCACGCCCCTCGAAGAGGGCTCCCTGAGGGCAGGGCATGCTCGCGGTCTGCCGGGCGCCGGGCCAGGCGCGCAGGCCGCGGGTTTTCGATGGAGCGGGAAGACGGAGGTGGGAAGCCGGACAACGCGGGAGAGGCGAGAAGGGACGCGCGGCATGAGGGGCGTGGAGTATTATTTTTGGAGGCGGCGGCGGCGAGGAGACTGGCGGGTGACGGTTAGCCGCTTTGCGCATGCGCCTCGCTCACCGTCGGCCCTCCGCGGAGAAAGGGCGCGGGGGTCTGCGGCTTCACTGGGGCTACGAAGGGCAGAGTAGGTCCAACGGGGGGCCCCGAAGGAAGGAAAACTTTTATAACGAAAAGCAGGGGGCGAAATCCCAGACTCAAGGGGGTCTCACTCACTCACCACCACGTCTGCCGCGGGAGGCAGTTCCTTCTCTTAGTTCTCCTCACGGCCGTTACTCACCCGCCAGGCCGCGCGCCAGAGAGCACTCCCCGCCCCTGCCCCGCCCCTTCTACTCCTACGGCCAATCAGGTGCCGGGTCTCGCCGGCCTCCCGCCCCGGGACACCGCCCTCGGCACCAAGAGCCAGAGGGATCTCTGCGCATGCCCCGCCGCTCCTCAGGCTTCTCGGCCTCTTGCCGCCAGGTGGAGCCCTGCTCAGCCAGGCTTGCAGGGCGCTGTTCAGGCCGGTGCAGATCGGGAAGCTGGCTGCGGAGTTCCACTGGGTCAGGGCAAATCGTCGGAAACGCCACCAAACTTGCCTCACGCTGTCGTGCCCTCCCAACCACTGATCGACGCAACCACCAGAAGCCAAGGTCAGGTGGTGACCAGGAGTTAGGCGGTGCTGGATCACTGACATGTCATGGTTAGGGCTCAGCCTGTGATCTGGGTTAGACCCAGGTTGACAAAGAATGAATCAATCTTACCATACTCTAGGTATCCAGGAAAGGCACTGTTAGTTATTTTCATTCTATTTGAAGCATTAGACAGGGTAAAAGCAATGTTTAAACAGTTTTATTGGCACTTCATCCACATATCATATAATTCAATATTTCATATCCAGAGGAGTTATACAATCATCACCACAATCAATTTTACAACATTTTCTTAAATATGCACAACAAAACATTCTCCAATTCAACAACTTTTACACATACAGTGCCATTGATTATACTCTTTGTGTTGTACAACATCCTTTTCCAAATTGCTCCACCACTATTAACATAAAGTCAGTGGCCCCTAAGAAAGAATTCTTCCTCCTTCACCCATGGTAACCTCTGGTCAACGTTGGTTTCTTTGCTTTCAGTAGTTTTCGTCATATAAAATGCACATATCATACACTTCCACAGTTAAGTCGCTTTTAAAAAGTACATACATCATCTCAAGCACTTCTAATGTTCCCTCCCCTCCCCCATTCATTGTTTTTTCCCCAATTCCCCTCACCATCCTCACCCGCTCCATCCCTGATAAACCATTGTATTTACTCCTGTGCTTCATAAACTGGGAGACCTAATAGAAACAATAAAATAACAAAAGT